GCACAGCATTATTCACGTAGTATACACAATTTCACAGAGACATGCTGATGATGCATTCTATGCCTTTAAGCATATGTTACCACAGAGGAGCTAAGGATCAATAGTCCTGATTTATTTTGCCTTAATTTGCATTAGAGGCATCTTTGTATTGAGCTTGTAGACTTTGTTGTCATCCAACACCACCACATGTGACAAATTAATCTCTTAGCCGCGTAAATACCAAAGGGTGGGCCGCATGCTCTGAATAGTAATCTGGCACGCGGGATTCAAAAATGAAAGTGAGCAGAGTAGCAAGTCTGGGGATACATTTAATCTATAAGGGAGGGTTTATGTCAATATCAAACACTATTGGACTTTAAAGGGTTAATAATACTCCTCTCCCTGTGTAAAAAGTAATTTAAAGGAGTTAAAACTCAACAGAGAAAAATAATCTATCCTGATCACATTTTCTGTGAATTAGATTCCAGTGAAGGCAATTCTGACCTTTCACTTCAAGATTACCTTTAGCGAGTGATAGAAGATGAGGAATGGCGAATGAGGTCCTGCACAGATTCACACAGCACAAGGATTGCCTGTTGCTCCCCCTGTAAATGTGGGCTTGTAAAATAGTGAACAACTGAGTCAATGTAAATCTCAAATGTGGCTTGATTTAAACACAGAGAAGCCCTTTGGCAAAACCGAAACCTCTGAATAATTAATTTCTTCAGTTATTATGGGGCCAGAGAAAAAGAAGAGGTAAAACCTGAGTTATATAAAATCACATCTAATGAATATCTCTTGCTTCTAATCACTAAAACACACACGGGTTTATTTACTTCTCCGAGAATTTGAAATTTAAGTTTAAAATAGCCAAACTGGATCAATTCTCGAAGTCAGCAGTGCATCCAAGATTTTCAATTCTCTCTGAATTCTCAGTTGAGTAAATAACCCTGACAGTATTCTGTACATGGTCAATAATACTGCATTATCAGGATATATTTTTTAGTTCTATTTAACAGACTTGTTTTAGTATAAGAAAGTTATACTGCAATACTTGTAATTAATGTAGAGTCCTTTTTGTAATCTGATGTAAGACGTTTGACACTGCACTAAAATTTTACATAAAACCATTATACAAAAAAATATAATTACACAGGCGAGTGATCAAGCACTGTGCCGACGTAGAGGTAAAGTAAAACACAAATTCAGCATTATTAATAGAATGTCAATCCTGGTATTCACACAGATGGTCCTGTGGGTAAGGATCTTTTATAAAAGGTACACCCGTGGGCGTTGCTAAAGGGGAGGTGCTTAAGGGACTGAAGCCCCAGGTAGAGGGCTCTGTACCCATAGACCTTTACAGTTGATTGACTATACAGAGGAATTTAATTTGTTTGTTTTTTTTTTTCAGGCAGCTGCTTATCAAAGTAAATAAAATAAGCAGTAGTGTAGTTTGGGGGGGGAGGAGGGTTGCCACTAGATGACAGTCAGGATAGCATACTGGGAAACAGAATTTTGTCCCACATCTTTCTAGTAGTTGGGTAGCATGGCGGATGGCATTTAATTCCTGCTTGCATTGTTCCCAGAGATCATCCACAGCCTGCTGTTCATGGGAATATAGGAGAGAACATAACATTGAAAAAGGGCAGGGATCTCTTATGAGATACCCACTCTCCTTTTGTTAGTATAAAGGTCACTATATTTTCCTTTAAGGTTAATCCTCAAGTGTTTCTGGAACCGAGCAACACCCCTGGGTACACTTTATGCACCATAACCACTGCAAACTATTTTTTGTTTATCCATTTTCAATGGTGGCTCTCCAATCATCGCAAGACCAGTCCCTTCAGGTTGGCAAAATCTATTGCAATATTAGACTAGAAGGGATTCATTTCTTCACAAAACTATGAAAATGCTTACAGGACAGAATTTCCCATAGCCTACACCAGATCTTGTACCAAGATCTTGAAGTCTCTTGCTGTGCCAGTCCTAATATTAATTTGATACATTGCTGTATTCTGCTTGTGTTAATTCTGGGTGCTGTAGTTTCAATGTAGCATTGTATTTGTTAATATGTGGGTTCTTATATTGTATATGGTCAGGAGTAGTTTGTGGTGTTGTGTACGATACCTACGGATGTGGCTGTGTATGGGGACTGCTTAGGGAATTGTGTGTGGATGATATGCCACATTGTGTATGTGTGGTGCTACTTGTGGTATTGCATGTGAGAGGCTGCTTGTGGGGTTGTGTGCCTGTATGTGGGTTGTAACTGGTGTTGTATTTGTTGGGACAGTGTGTGTTTGTGTGTGGGCTGTTTGTACTATTTGTACGAGGGAGAGGGTTATTCTGCATTTCTGTGTATATCTAGCAGTGTGTGTGGCTTCCCTGGGGTCCAGTGGGGACCAGGCTGGCCAAGTACAGGCAGGAGCTGTGGTAGCTGCATCCAATGTGGATTCCAGTTCACAAGTTCTGGCGGGAAGTGATATGAGATCACTTCCTCTTAGTGCTGCAATGCATAAATTGAGGCTTGTCCCTCACCACCGGCATTCACTGCTCGGTTTGCAAATATCTGAAGTCCCACTTGGACAGGTGCAAAGCACCTCAAGTGCATCTCCAGCATTATCTGTCCCTCAAAATCTTACAGACAAAAAGACAAAATATTCCCACTTGCAACACTGTTTTCCACAAACGGAGTTACCCTAAATTGGATTTTGGTTTAAATGATTTTGTACATAATAAGGCATAGCGTTAGACAGAGTGCTAATGCAGTTTGACGTGTACCTACGCAGAGGCTAATCAAGTCATCAAAAGCAATGTTATACATTCAAGTACAAAGAGAGGTATGCATAACTGAACAGGATTTTTTTCGATAGTCATTTACAGCGTTAAGTAGGCCCTTGTTTTCCGGTGCAGGGGTGCTAAAAAACCTTGTGGTTGGACCGAAGTGATGTAAGGCCAAAGTAGGTGATACGTGAAAATGCATAGTAATAGGTAGCTTATGTATGAATAATGGGCACGTTATGTAAGCAACAATGTTTACACCTAACAGAAAAAAATCAAACAATTTAACACATTCTGACGGCATTCCAATGCAAGTGTCTGAATAAGCTTATTGGTTGCTGCACACGAAGAGTGAGTCAAAGGGGATGGTGTGTGGGAATGTATATCCCTAAGTGATAAATGTGGGGGGGTGATTATAGGATGTGTGTTTTGTGGTACTATTGAATAAAAAAAACAAGCAGGTACCAGTCCCAGCAATGTGGCGCCATATCAGGGAACAGCAACCATTGCAGGTGTTTGAGAGTGGTATCGGTGTGTATGCTAATTTCTTCCTAGTCGTGTTGCTGCATCGTTGATGTGGGCTTAGGGCTGTTTGGCCTCTGCATTAGGATGCCTGTCTATCTGGTTGTCTGTTATCGTGTTCTGCTGGTAAAATTATCAACATGGGGCACCTCAGTTTGTAGTTAGGTGTCATGTGGGTGTGGTCACTCCCTATCGACCCTCAAGGGGTACCCCCCCGTTAGCCTCAGTGGCGGTGTCCAGGCTGCACCGCGTCCCGGTTTGAAGCGGGAGTTGTGTTGGTGCTCGCTGTTAGCTAGGTAGGAGAGGGGGAGGATGTGGGGGGAGGCAGAGACTAAAGGTGAGAGGAGAAGAAAGCAAAGAGAAATGATGGGGGGGGGGGGCTGAAATTCATTTTCTCTCCCTTCTAAATTGGATTTTAGACTCCCTTCAATCTTCTCTAGTTATAAATTATCTACAGATGATTTCAACAGGTTGCGTATCTTATATAGTTCAGAAACAAAGCAAACTAGCTGTGCCACAACCTTGTTCTAGCCGGATTTTCAAAAGGTTAAATGTTTATCTTAATCTGTGTTTAGTTATAAAACATTGTTTTTCAATTTTTTTTTAACCAAAGTTGGAGAAAACTTAAAAGATTTTCCACAAACCCAAAGAAAACACAACTTCTATTACAAAAAATTCTATTAAATTCTATTAAAAAAAATAAAAATAAAAAAAATCATTGGTTTAAAGGGTAATGGAATTTAGTGGCTCCAAACATTTTGGGGATGATATGTTGCTGAGCACTAGAAAAAAAAAACACTTTTTTTTTTCTAGTTAAAATAAGTTACAACAGAGAAATACATTTTAAAATAGTTCACAAATGTAGTATTTAGCAGTGCTGTTTTTTTTTAGTTTTTTTTTTGCATAAATACATATTTCATAATGTTGGCAAACAAGCCTTAGAGAGAATAAAAATATTAATTACCTCTGTTTGCATTTCAATTAGATACAAAATGATCATCAGACACAAATCTGTTATTTATTCAAGAAAAACAAATTAAATAAATCTAAAAATCTGTGCTTCAAGTATTTAAAGTTTTTGGTGCATAAATACACCAGATGCTATGTTTGGTACATTACTCTAATGTTTTCCTAATGTAATTTGAAATTAAAAACAAAGTTATGTATTTAGTGTATTTAACTTATTTTGAATGAAATTGGTAACTGGGAGGCAAGAGTAATATTTTACAATAATTAAATGGTGGCGAGCCGTTAAATATGGAAATATAAAAATCTAACTTGTTAAAATGTGTGACTGGTGTGCTTCAAATGAATGGGATACCTTAAAGAGGGACACTCCAAATCTATTGCCATCGGGTGGCCCCCAGAGCATGGCCACTTCAATGTGGCCGCGGCAGTTGTCCTGTGCGGTCAGGGCCGCACCACAATGCCAGCTGGCACCCCAATCGCAGTATTCGCAGAGCGGAAGGACCCCCTGGAATGACGGGCCCGGCTGCGACCCCTGCGACTGCGGTAGTTCCGCCATTGACTGAGCCCCTTTAATATGAATTAAAATGTGTATTTGGATTAATATTTAAAAATTTAATGTACTGCTGTTCTCTTACTTTTCAACGTTATAATAATGGGAGTGCAAGTTCTGTTTTTCAAGTAAAGGCAACTTTTCGTGATGTCTTGGACACAAAATAAAAAATGAAATAAAATCAGACCTCGGTCCAACAACTATGGGCTCACCAAAGAGCTCACACACGCTCACCTCTATGGAAGATACTGCACCATTCCTGACGGCCCTGGGACTGGCACAGCTACCGGACACCGCACGACAGAGTGCCTTCACCTCAACGTCAACCTGGGACCCGGCGCATGCAACAACCTTCATCCCAAGAAGGGGGAAAGAGAGGACGGCAGATCCAGGAACAAGCACCAGCGAGGACCCAACCTAAGACAACAGCCCGACTGAAGACCAGCCAGCCACACCAGCCGGTCTCTACGCTCACCATGGGACTATTTGCTCAGGACATTATATATACCCCAATGTTCTCCCAGTTTCTCCCCCCCACACCCTATACCAGGGACCGGGCAACTGTTTAGGGACCACATCTACAGTCACACAGGTAATCACACCCAAGGTTGGGGACACGACCAATGCTCTACCCCCCATAACGGGGAACAACAGCATCCCTCCACACTCACACACGAGGCAACCGCCAAACAACTCACGCATCCACCACCCCCCGCAGCTCCCATGGTCAGGAGCCACTATAAACGAAACAAGGCATACCTCACACACCCAACACCTCCCTGGGACTCACACAACACAGCCTGTATGCCATGTACTGAAGAGGCTATATACCACGCTACACCACCAGCCCACAGGCTGAACGAACAAGCCATAGGACCCTCTACGAGCAACCACAACACACCGACTCTCACCCATAGATCAGCTAGAACACACCACACTCAACCACCTCAGAAGAGAGGGATGACACGATAGCGATCAAGGCCTACACAAACATGTTACAAAAATAAAATTGTGCAAGAATGTGCTACGATCTGGCTAACACACAAATCATATACGCTCCTTTTAACGAATGCTGTAACGACTATGCTTTGCACTGAAAAAATAAAGAATTTAAAAAATGAAATAAAATATTTGGGTGACAATATGCAAAAAAACCAAACAAATAAACAAAGATCTGAAGCATTCTAACACAAACAGCTGGTATTATCCAAGAGGTTCTCTAATTTTATTGTAATGGCCATGAATATTAAGGCAGTCAACGAGTGAACAAAGGAGAATTTGCTTGAATGGCATGAGATATAATCTTATCATAACCCACGACAGGAATTCCAGTCTTTAAAGATTATTTCGGTCTACCTCAATGCATTTTCCTTGTTTTTTTAACAATTTCTTTGTTCTCTTACTCCATTTCAAAATGGTTACAATATTTCACCTTTTCTGCACACATTATGAAAGTCATAAATAAGCACTGCAAAAATTGCTAGCCAATCAAAATCAGAACAAAGAAATGTCAAAGCACTACATCAAGACACTACGGCTTTAGACGGAGCAATATATTCCGGAGTCTTGCGTTAGGTGGGAGGTGGGGCAAGTTAATGTTCAAATCCAAACCTTTGCTCGATCACTAATACAGAAAGTGAAATCATGTCTAGATAAACATGTTTGGTTACAATAAATGTCGACAAACATTGGTGGATGTTTAATATACTCTAGCACCATGAAAAACAAACAAAACAACAAAAGGCACATTGCAAATGAAAACTGAAAATTGTGAGAACACAAAAAATGAGATGTAAGTGTGTTGCTTTATAGATAAGGGATAAATGGAATATAGGACTATCTTATTAATAAAGACTTATTACACAATATATTGATCTTTATATCCTCTTAAAGCTTTGATTATATAAATCTGTTCTGTAATAGAATGTAGTACAAATACAAACGCAATAAAGACAATACTTGAAACAGTCAACAGTTTGTTGTTGATCCAAAAGAAGGCAAAAAACCTAGTCTGAAGCGCTTCCAATTTTGCAACAAACTAGGAAAAAAATCCCTTTTTGACCCCAAAATAGCAGTCAGATGTCTCCTTGGATCAAGCAGCTATGACCCCACTAATTAGAAATGATATCCCTGTATGTTATGTTTTTGCAAGTATTTATCTAATTGCAGTTAAAACATCTGTATGGACTCTGATAAAACCACCTCTTCAGGCAGAGAATTCCATATCCGTATTGCCCTTACTGTAAACAAAAATCAATATGGTATCTCAGTTTCAAAGACAAGAATAATCTCCCTATTCAGAGAACCAAATTGGGTTTGCTGTATGGATTCACTTGACTTCTTTACATAAGGCCACATACTCAATATTACATCACACTTAGATTACATTTCATTTTACTATAATTAATATTTAAACATTTTCTCAGCACTTCACTACTAAATGCGGTATGTAAATTACTTGTATAATTATCACTGCTCCATTATGGTCATGTTAAATCATGTATCTTCGGACATAGACTTCCAACAATGGATTTCTTGAGCTAACCCACTCTATTCTCACGCCCTTTAATTTGTTTCTTCTAACCCTCTTTATTAGAATTGACTGTTATGGCCGATAGAATTAAATCTAGGTCTATGTAAAAAGGTGGCCAACCAAGAAAGAGAAAACAGAAAGAACAAAATACTGGGCAGGTAATTAACATTTATAAAAAAAAATTAAACAAATAATACATTTTTTTTAACGTTTTAACCTAATGCAAGTAAATGACAAAAAAAAAAAAAAAAAAAGCAAATAAATTATCCAGTCCTCAGCCTCAAGTTAAAGTGTATTTCATGGTTTCTTGTGCCTCTTGATCAGGTTATAACTATACATCGTTACAGGTAAATCAATGTCATGATATACTCATCTGTCTAATCTACATAGTAAATGAGTCCTGAAAAAAATAAAATGTGTAGCAATACTATGTGTAGCGATATTAGGCCATGTTATGGTTCATTGTATGACACGGTTTATTCATACTATGAATGGTAGGAGCTAGCTCAATAGCTATGTAGAGTATTTTACAGAGGCAGAAGTTACTCTAACGCAGACGCACAAACAACAGCCTGCTCGTAAATGCTTTGCGACAATGAGTCCATTAAGCAATCACCTGCATTTACAGATATTCTACATTGAACGTACAAATTCATTGTAGAGACTCAAAACTTTGCGATAGTTGTGCGACTTTGGATGATACGAAATACATCAAAATAACGTACAGCAAAAAGCATGATTTCTCACAATATTTCTTTTAAATCTTTTTTTAAAAGCAAAACAAAAGGTAATGATATATTATGTTGGCTCAACATAAATCAACCAGAGTTGGCAGTTACTGACAGCAGGACTGGCATCTTGCCATTACAGCTTAACTTCCCGACTGAGAAACCTGGTAGGTAGGCTGAAGTCTTCACACTAATCACTGGAAAATACCGGGTTCACACCAAGCCAAGTCTGCTGAGAATGGCACAAACACTCTCCAGGATAATAAATAGAAGCATCTACAGGAGACATGAGGAGGGAGTGGAATTGAAATAGAAAGGATAACGAGAGGCAGAAGGGGGGTAGAGCAATGCAGGGAAGCCGAAAATCCAAAGTATTTGACCTACATTGAGCGGTTATGTATTGGCTGTGTTGTAGAATTCGTAGGACATTTTATATAGATTAGCAGATTTTTGTTTTTATACATTTTACACATAACTCATAACTGAGTTTGTGGTTATGGAATAATGGACTTTTTGTGAAGAAATGCTTTTTCTGCAGACTATCCAATGATGGTAGCTCGTAGAATTAGGTGAATAAAATGTGTGAAAAATCATATTGGAAACAAATAGAAAATAATCTGTTGTTTGACCCCCTTCTCTAGTATGTTAGTACATTTCTACATTAATATTGCAAACGTGAATGAATAAAGCAAGTTTCACGTTGGTGAAATTAACATGGTAGGGCCACATAATGCAACTAAATCCTCAGATTCTTACTTAAAAGTTTAAAGTGACACTATAGACACCATAACAACTTTAGCTTAATGAAACAGTTTTGGTGTGTAGATAATGCCCCTGCAGTCTCTCTACTCTATTTATGCAGCCCTAGTCACACCTCCCTGCATGTGACCTCTGGGACGGATTTGACCCTCTTTGATGCCCCGTGCAGTCCCTTCATGTATACATGTGTGTTATAGTAATTTTATAGTTTGTGTATGTGTGTATAATTATATAGATATGTACATACAGGTGATACTCAAAAAATTTGAATATCGTGCAAAACTTCATTTATTTCAGTAATGCAATGTAAAAGGGGAAACTAATATGAGATAGACGCATTACATGCAAAGCAAGATAGTTCAAGCCATGATTTGTCATAAGTGCGATGATTATGGCTTACAGCTCATGAAAACCCCAAATCCACAATCTCAGTAAATTAGAATATTGTGAAAAGGTGCAATACTCTAGGCTCACAGTGTCCCACTCTAATCAGCTAAGTAAGCCATAACACCTGCAAAGGGTTTCTGAGCCTTTAAATGGTCTCTCAGTCTGGTTCAGTAGGAGTCACAATCATGAGGAAGACTGCTGACCTGACAGTTGTGCAGAAAACCATAACTGACACCCTCCATTAGGAGGGAAAGCCTTTAAAAGGTAATTGCAAAGGAAGTTGGATGTTCCCAAAGTGCTGTATCAAAGCACATTAATAGAAAGTTATGTGGAAGAAAAAAGTGCACAAGCAGCAGGGATGACCGCAGCCTGGAGAGGGTTGTCAGGAAAAGGCCATTCAAAAGTGTTGGGGACTTTCACAAGGAGTGGACTGAGGCTGGAGTCAGTGCATCAAGAGCAACCACACACAGACGGATTCTGGACATGGGCTTCAGATGTCGTATTCCTCTTGTCAAGCCGCTCCTGAACAACAAACAACATCAGAAGCGTCTTACCTGGGCTAAAGAAAAACAGACCTGGTCTGTTGCTCAGTGTTCCTTTTTTCTGATGACAGCAACTTTTGTATCTCATTTGAAAACCAAGGACCCAGAGTCTGGCGGAAGAATGGAGAGGCACACACTGCAAGATGCTTGAAGTCCAGTGTGAAGTTTCTACAGTCTGTGTTGATTTGGGGAGCCATGTCATCTGCTGGTGTTGGTCCACTGGGCTTCATTAAGTCCTGGGTCAACGCAGCCGTCTACCAGGAGATTTTGGAGCACTTCATGCTTCCTTCCGCAGACGAGCTTTATGGGGATGCTGACTTCATTTTCCAGCAGGAAACTGCCAAAGCACCAAAGCCTGGTTCAATGACCGTGTGATTACTGTGCTTGATTGGCCAGCAAACCCACCTGACCTGAACCCCATAGAGAATCTATGGGGCATTGCCAAGAGAAAGATGAGAGACATGAGACTGAA